TTCGCAAGCAAGTCAACAGCTGGTGATAGGGGCTGCCAGGGGTTGCCACCATTTCAAAGACTGACTGGAAGGCACGGCGATCTAGCTCCTCATCAATCTGTTTCCTGTAGAAGTCCATTGCCAACAAGCAGAAGAGATTTATATCCACTTGTTCAGCCTTACCCATTCGGCTGATAATGTGGGGGAGGCTGGATATGCAGTTAAGAAATAGTTTTGCTTTAACTATACTGTAATCTGAGGTTGTAGACATACTCACCAAGCCTGTGGGTTTGGTTACAAATGTTTTGTCACCCTGCTAGGTAACATCATCAGTGCACTTCGGTGAAGCGTCAGTGTTCTGACCCACTTGTTATTTATATGCCTCTGTTTGCTATAATATATGTCATATAAATAACAAGCAGGACAGAACACCAATGCTTCACCGGAGGTGCACCAACCACGTTACCTAGCAGGGTGACAAAATGTTTGTAACCAAGCCCACAGGGTCGGCAAGCATATCGACAACCTCATCCGCAACCCAAGTTACAAAGCTCTCGAATACTTTATATACTGTGGTCTGCTCTGTAATAACTGAGGATTATGATTGATTTACAGCATGTTTTCTGACCTTTCCAAATAACGTGCATCAAGTCAGCTACAATTCTATATTTAATCTCTAGCAGCACATTACTTTCCTTTAACCATTACATTCGTATTTCATAAAACATTCACAAGATCTCTGACAGCACATTAACTACTGCAACCTCCAGAATTCAAAAGCTTTGTGCATGATTGTAGTGAATTAGCCTTGCTTCACTGGGTAGCCCACTTCCGAATCAGAACATGGTGCATTCAAATCCCACACCAGAGATACAAGTCCACAACGTAAGCTCACACTTCACTGCAGTACTAAGGGGATGCTGCATTGCTGGAGGTACCAACCTGCTGAATCAGATATTAAATCAAGGCTCCATCTTCATTCTCAGGTGGCTGCAAAACATACCAAGACATTACTTTGAAAAGGGACGTTGGAATTCTTTATGGTGATTTGTGTGCATTTTTTTTTTTAGTTTGGATTTTAAACTACTGGTATATGGGTGTTTCATTTTGTGAAGGGGTTTAAAAATTAACTAGGTCAGTCTTTCTTGAACCATTATTTAAAGCCAGCATGTTTCAGACAGCAAGGCCTCCAAGAACATTAATGGAAGTCTGCACGTTTTTGTGGGGTTTTCAACAGGAAAGAAAAAACCCTTAAGCTATTAGATGGCAGAGATTCTTTGATGAACAAGTGTTTTCTAAAGTTAATTCAAAAGCTTTTGAATTCAGTTCGAAGGAGGCCTAACCGAAGGCAGATGCAAGTATAGTCTCTCCAACAAAGGACACTGTTAAGGGAATATGCTGCCTCAGCGAAACAGTTTAGTTTGTGGAACTTCCAGACCAGAAGTATTTGGTTAGAAGTCAGCATTCATTATTATTGCATAAGTAATAAAGCCTAAAATCTCACTGGTGTGAATATTCCATAGAAAAGACCTCACATATCAAAGGACCAGAACCAAGAGGATGTGATTAAATCAAACCTACAGATTTGACAAAGAAGGGCAATTTCCTTGGTTTTCGAGTAACTATAAAATGATAGTGTTGCAATACATGGGGCTTTGTTTACATGTCTTTTTGAAATGTTTCAAACTGCATTATATTTAGAGAACTTTGTTTTATTTTTATTTCTTTTGGCTAATAAACTGGTTTTATTATTGAAACAAAACCTATAGTCTTGCGTGCTTAATTTTAGTGCAAGACATAGAAAATAAGAGTAGGCCATTCAGCCCTTCCAGTCTGCTCCACCTCTTAGTATGATTAATTCAGTACTCTGTACCCCCTTTCTCCCCATACCCTTTGATCCCTTTATCCCCAAGAAATATATTTACCCCCTTCTTGAAAATATTCAATGTTTTGGCCTCAACCTCTTTCTGTGATAGAGAATTCCAGGCCCACCACTGTCGGAGTAAAGAAATTTCTCATCTTAGTTCTAAATGGCTTAAACCATATCCTTAGACTGTGACCCCTGGTTTTGGGCTCCTGTTTTATCAGGAACATCCTTCTTGCATTTACAATGTTTCATCCTGTTAGAATTTTGTAGGTTTCAATAAGATGACACCTAATTCTTCTAAATGCCACTGAATATAGCCCTAACTGATCCGGTCTCTCTTTATACATCAATCCTGCCATTCCAAGAATCAGTCTGGTAAACACGCATTGTACTGCCTCTACATCTAGAACATTCTTCTCAGAAATGGAAACCTCAACCACATACAATACTCCAGGTATGGTCTCACCAAGATCCTGTACAATTGCAGGAAGTTATCACTGTTCCTGTAGAGTCATACAGTATGGAAACAGACCCTTCAGTCCAATTCGTCCACCCCGATCAGAAGTCCTAATTGCCACCATTTGGCCCACACCCCTCTAAACCTTTCCTATCATATACATATCTAAGTGCCTTTTAAATGCTGTAATTGTACCCATCTCCACGACTTTCACTGGCAGCTTGTTCCATACACACATCATCCTCTGCATACTTGAATCTTCTCACTATAAAGGCCAACATACCATTTGAAGTCTTCACCAAATGCTGCACCTGCATGCTTACCTTCAGCATTAGGGTCTCACTATAGCTCCCCCTTTCCCAATCTAATCGCTAGTCAGATAATAATCTGCCTTTTTTGTTTTCACTGTTGCCAAGCATTCACCCATTCATTCAACTTGCCCAAATCACAATTAGTCATCTCTACACTCTCCTCGCTGCTCGGCTTCCACCTGGCTTTGTGTCATCTACAACTTGGAGATATTACGTTTCGATCCCTCATCTAAATCATCTATATTGTGAATAACTGAGGTCCAAGCACTGTTCCCTGTGGTAACTCATTAGTCAGTACCTGCCTCTCAAAAGACCCATTTCTTCCTACTCCGGTTCCTGTCTGCCAACCAGTTTTCTACATCGGTACATTACCCCAAATCGCAAGCACTTTATACTTTACATGCTAAACTCAGTCATACAGCATGGAAACAGACCCTTCGGTCCAACCAATCCATGCCGAACACAATCCCAAGCTAAACTAGTCCCTCTTGCATGCTCCTAGCCCATATCCCTCCAAACCTGTCCCATTCATGTATCTATCCAAATGTCTTTTAAATGTTGTAATTGTACCCACATCCACCACTTCCTCAGGAAATTCATTCCACACTCAAACCACCTTCTATAAAAAATTTGCATCTCGCATTTTAAAATCTCTCCTCTCACCTTGAAAATAGGCCCCCTTGACTTGAAATCCCCCATCCTAGGGAAAAGACAACTATACCATTAGCTCCATCTATACCTCTCATTGATTTCTCAACCTCTATCAAGTCACCTCTCAATCTCCTATTCTCCAGTGATAGTAGTCCCAGGCTATTCAGCCTTTCTTTATAACTCAAACCAACCATACCCAGCAACATCCTGGTAAATCTCTCCTGAACCCTCTCCAGCTTGATAATATCCTTCCTATAACTGAGCGACCAGGACTGGACACAGTCTTCCAGAAGAGGCCTTATCAATGTCTTGTACAACCTCAACATGACTTGCTAACTCATAGGGCTGAGCAATGACGGTATGTGCCAAACACCTTTTTAAACCACCTTGTCGAGATGTGATACAAACTTCAAAGAATTATGTACCTTCACTCCTAGGGCGCTCTGTTCTACAACACTACCCAAGACCCTACCATTAATTATATAAGCCCAACCCCTTGTTTGTTGTACCAAAATGCAATATCTCACATTTATCCAAATTGAACACCATCTGCCATTTTTCAGCCCATCGACCCATTTGATCCAGATCTCTTTGTAATCTTAGGGAACGTTCTTCACTGCCTACTATGTCGCAAACATACTAACCATACCTTCTATATTCTCATCCAAATCATTTCTATAAATGACAAACAACAGGACCCAGAACCGATCCCTGTGGAACACCATTGGTCACAGGTCTCCAGTCCAAAAAGCAACCCTTCACCATTACTGTCTCCTGCTATTCGCTCAGTTATTCAATGTTTACTGAAACTGCAAGTAAACCACATTTACTGCCTTCCCCATCCACTCTTCTAGTTACATTCTTGAAAAATTCTAATAAATCTGTCAAGCATGATTTTTCTTTTGTTAATCCATGCTGACTGTCTGATCCTGTCAGTTTCCAAATTCTCTGCTATTAAATCTTCGTGTAAAGGTCTCTAGCATTTTCCCCACTATTGATGCCACGCGAACGGGTCTATAATTCCCTTTCTCTTTTAAATGGTACAGTTACATTAGCTACCCTCCAATCCATAGGAACTGTTCCCGAGCCTATAGAATTTTGAAAGGTGACCACCTTTCATCCACTATTTCAAGGACCACTTCCTAAAGTACTCTGGAACGTCGATTATTGGATCCTGAGGTTTATTGACTTTTAATCCCATCAATTTCCTCAACACCGTTTCTCTACTAATACTTATTTCCTTCAGTTCCTCCCTCTTACTAACTAGACCCTGTTCCCCAAGTTTTCTGGGAAATTATTTATGTCCTCCTTTATGAAAATAAAACCAAGATATGTATTTAATTGGTCTGCAACTCTTTGCTCCCCATAATAACTTCATGTTTGACCTAAAGTTGTCTTCAGTAATCTTTCTCTCTACACATACCTGCAGAAGCTTGTATCATCAGTTCGTATGTTTCTCTTAAGCTTACTTTCATGCTCTGCTACTCCCCCCTGCCCCCAACTCCTTAATAAATCCCACTGTCTTGCTTTGCTGAAATCTAAACTGCTTCCAATCCTCAGGTCTGCTGCTTTTTGGATAATTTGTATGCCCCTTCCTTGGACTGCCATGGTTTAAAAAAATGTTTTATTAAGTCAGATTTCATTCTGGCATCCGACTTGTCCAGTGATAACATCAGCTGGGATCATGTGTGTCTTGGTCAATATGAATCTCTCAACCAGCATCATGAAAATAGATTCTCTACCTACTGACTCATTGCTATTTCAGGGAATTGGTACATGTCTCTTATTCAAGGTCAGGATGGGCATGTTCATTATTCTGGGATCTGGTGACTTTCATCAGATAGGCCAAATGGGCCGAGAAATGGCAGATAGATTGTAATTTAGATAAATGTGAGGTGTTGCATTTTGGAAAGGCAAATAAGGACAGGACTTGTACACTTAATGGTAAGGTCCTGCAGAGTGCTGCTGAATAAAGAGGGCTTGGGGTGCAGATTCATAGTTCCTTGGAAGTAGAGTTGCAGGTAGAGTAGAGGGTGGCATTTGGTATGTTTGACTTTATTGGTCAATGAATTGAGTATAGGAGTTGGGATGTCATGTTACGTCTGTACAAGTCATTAGTTAGGTCACTTTTGGAATACTGCGTTCAATTCTGGTCTCCATGCTATAGAAAAGATGTTGTGAAACTTAAAAGGGTTCAGAAAAGATTTACAAGAATATTGCTGTGATTGAAGGGTTTGAGCTGTAGGGAGAGGCTAAATATGCCAGGGCTACTTTCCCTGGAGCATCAGAGGCTGAAGGGTGACCTTATAGAGGTTTATAAAATCATGAGGGACATGGCCAGGGTGAAGTGCCAAGGGCTTTCCTCCAGGATAGGGGAGGCAAAAACTAGACGGCATACGTTTAAGGTGAGAGGGGAAAGATTTAAAAGGGACCCAAGGGGAACATTTTCATGCATAGGATGGTGCGTGTATAGAATGCGCTGTGAAAGTTGGTGGTGGAGGCTGGTACAATCACAACATTGAAAAGGCATCTGGATGTGTACATGAATAGGAAGAGTTTAGAGAGATATAGGCCAAATGCTGGCAAAGTGGGAGTAGATTAATTTAGGATATCTGTTTGGCATGGACAAGTTGGGTCTAAGGGTGTTTCCATGCTGTACATCTCTATGATGGGATTCTAGTGGACACATAGGTGACCAAATCTAGAGCCTCGAAGGTTCTGCTGCAAACAAGATAGGGTACCACAGACATTTGGAGTTTTAGATATGTTGCTGCAGCGCAAATTTCCTTTCATTACCAAGCAAGAAAGCAGTCTACCTTTTCAAGAGCAATTAGCTGCGTAACTGATGCCGGCCTTGCCAGAGTCCAATTAATTATTAAGAAAGGAGTTTAAATTTTAATTAATTTTCTTCTGTTTATCCCATTATGACAGAAAATACACTTCAAACATTATTTGCTGTCTATGAAGTATTTTGGAGCAGCCTGTTATGATACTCTTTCTTTCCAGCTGTATGAAATAAAATTACATAGATTGTACAAATTGAGGTTATTCAGCTGAACTAGTTTATGCCTCTTCCTAATCCAATGATCTCTTTCCACCCTGCCCTCCTTACTCCTCCATCCCAGCCTCACACCTGCATACATCAAACTTCCCTTCAATATGACAACATTCTCTGCTTCAACCAATTCATGTGGTCGAGTTGTAGACAGTGTGGAGGGCTGTTCTAGGTTACAAAGGGACATTGATAGAATGCAGAGCTGGGCTGAGAAGTCGCAGATGGAGTTTAACCCTGAAAAGTGTGAGGTGATTCATTTTGGAAGGACAAATTTGAAAGCAAAATACAGGGTTAACGGAAAGATTCTTGGCAGTGTGGAGGAGCAGAGGGATCTCGGGGTTCATGTCCACAGTTCCCTGAAAGATTCCACCCAGGTGGATAGAGTTGTTAAGAAGGCATATGGTGCATTAGCTTTCATTAATAGAGGGATCGAGTTCAAGAGCCGTGAAGTTATGCTCCAGCTATACAAAAGCCTGGGTCGGCCACATCTGGAGTATTGTGTCCAATTCTGGTCACCTCATTACAGGAAAGATGTGGAAGCATTGGAAAAGGTGCAGAGGATTTACCAGGATGTTGCCTGGAATGGAAGGAAGGTCTTACGAGGAAAGGTTGAGAGACCTAGGGCTTTTCTCTTTAGAACGACGAAGGATGAGAGGTGACTTGATAGAGGTGTACAAAATGATCAGGGGTATAGATAGTGTGGATAGCCAGAGATTTTTTCCTAGGGTGGAGGTAGCTATTACGAGGGGGCATAGTTTTAAAGTGAGTGGAGGTAGATATCGGGGAGATGTCAGAGGTAGGTTCTTTACTCAGAGTGGTAGGGGCGTGGAATGCATTGCCGGAGAGGGTAGTGGAGTCGGCCTCATTAGGGGCATTTAAGCGGCTATTAGATAGGCGTGTGGATGACAGCATAATGTAGGGGTGGAGGTCAGACAGACCTTAGGATTAGGGTAAAAGTTCAGCACAACATTATGGGCCGAAGGGTCTGTACTGTGCTGTACAGTTCTATGTTCTGTGCAGCAGTGAATCTACATTCTCACAGCTTTTGATATACAGAAATTCCTCCTAAATCCTTCATCTGGTGAGTTGATTGGACATCTGTTCATATTGTGCTCTGATTATGCACTGAAACCTCCTGCCGTGTGGTTCAGACTGGAGAATAGAAAAAAGGTTAAAACATACAAATAGAGTCTTTAGTGAGTGATCCCAACAGAAAGGTAACCTCTCTTGCAATCCCAGGACTTTCCAAATCGCTCTACATCTAATGAAATGGTTTTGAAGTGTAGTCACTGTTGCAATGTAGAAATGCCAGAAAGTTAAAAAAAAGCATTAAACAAACATTTTAGTCTGCGTGATAACTACACTAAAACGCCAATCGGACCATTAAAATATCTTTGGCCACCTCACAACATTTCAGCTTGTGCCCTTAGCAGTACCTGCAACTGTCCCGGGTAACGGTAGGTTCGAAAGAACACATATTATACACTAGCTTAACTCAATCACAATCTTGTCCAACTCTTGATTCGAGCACCTATAAGCCTGGCAATTATTAATAAAGGATACAGAGCTGAGATCCATGCACTGGTTGAAGCACTAACGAAAAAACAGGAGAGGCTCCACATTGCCATTGCTATTGGTGTTCGTTGTGTGAAGTTTGAAAGCGATAGCATTACCCAATCCCTCACCATGGAAGACTGCCCAGTATTGTGTAAAGTCTGAAACACCTGTGAAGGAAAGAACACAATATCTATTCAGAATATAATAGGTCCAATAGTTCCAGAGTTCAAGAAAGCTGACACGTATACCACCACAGAGGATGCGAGCAGTTTTGGTCATGCAGCCTCACAAAATTCCCCACCTCAGAGGCATCATGCTGAATTGTACAGGGCTCAAAAGGAGAAGATAGAGGAAATAACAAAAAAAAGGACATGCTTGCACTTGAAGCACTTTAGAGAAAGTTCAGCTGTGGGATGAAGAAATTACTTTGCGAAGAAAAACTGGGCACGTTGTGTCTATACTCATTGTAGTTCAGAAGAATGAGAAACACAGAAAACAAAGAGCTTCAGGGTAAACCCAGAGACAATGTTTTCTCTCATAGGGGAGTCCAACACTGGGGACACGGCTTAAAGCGATGGTCTCCTACCAAAGACAGAAATGAGGAGGAATTTCTTCTTTCAGAGGGTTATTAGTTTAGGGAATTCTGCTACAGTGACCTGTGGGATTCTAGATCACTAAAAAAGTGTTCAGGGCTGCATTAGACATGATTTTGATTGAAAAGGAAGACAAGGGACAGGATAATGATGAAGGTTTATATTATATTATTTAGGAACTTTGGTTCTAAAGTACAGGCAAAAAGAATTTTTGTTTTTACTGTGAACTCTTTTTTTTTCCAAAGATGGGTAAGAAACCTATTTTTAGCACTGGGTCAAAACAACATTTCCAAGATATCATGTGACTTAATCTTAATGATTAAACAAGCTACCTGGTGAGAGAATTGCACAAGTGATTATCAATTTGAGCTTTTACGGCAGAGAAAGAGCTCAAGACCAGAAGTGGTTTTAGTTCAGAAGAAAAGACAGACTAAAAGCGATCCAAGTAACTAGAAAAAGCTCTGATTTTTCCTTATAGTTCAGTGGAAAAAGTCACTGATTTATGTGCCTTGGGGGTCAGTTAGCTCAGTTGGTTGGATGCATGGCTTTTGTTGCGGAGGAGTCCCATCAACAGCAGTTTAAATTCCATACCAGCAGAGGTCACCATTAAGGCCTTGCCTTCTCAGCCTCACCCCCTCAACTGAGGTGTGTTAATAAGCTATTCTCATTAGAGAACGTCAAGTTTTCATAACAAGTCTGTGCTTATTCTAAGGGAAACAAATAGTGTTTGGAGCTACGGAATGGCAGGTTAAAATGATGAAGTACAGCGAACATCCTGCGTTACGTGAAGTCATGAACATACCAGGCACTCCAGACAAACACATCTGCAGGATGTGTCACTTGCACAAGCTTGAGCACCAGGTTTCGGAGCTTGAACAGCAGCTGAAGACACTGTTGTGCAGCCACAAGGCGGAGGACCACATGGACATAGGGAGGTTGTCACACTACAAATTAGAAGCGTAACAGGCAGAGGGGGAATGAATGACTACCAGACAGTACAAGAAAACCAGGCAGGTACTGCAGGACTCCCGAGTCTAATGTGCTTGCTAACGTGCTTTCTATTTCTGACACTGGTGAGGGCAACGGTACATCAGGGGCATGCAGCCAGAGCCAAGCCAGTGTCACAATAAACAACCGTGCTGGACTGTAGAGGAAAGAAAAGAATGGAAGAGCAATAGTTATAGGGGATTTCACAGTCAAACAGGGTGTTTCTGTCGCAGTAAATGTGACTCCAGGATGGTGTTTTACCTCCCCGGTGCTAGAGTCAAGGATGTCACGGAGCAACTGCAGAATACTCTTCTGAGGAGGGGGAGCAGCTGGAAATTGTGGTCCACATTGGTACCAATGACATAGATAGAAACAGGGATGAGGTCTTACAGGCCAATTTCAGAGAGTTAGCATAGGAGTTTAAAAAACAAGACCTCAAAAGCAGTAATCTCAAAATTACTCTCAATACAGCCAGCTACTGACCATAAGAACAAGAGAATTCAGCAACTGAATACACTGCTTAAGAACCTGGTGTAAGAGAGAGGGCATTAGATTCCTGACAAATTGAGGTTCTGGTGCAGGTGGGACCTGTACATGCTGGATCATTATACCTTAACGGGGTTGGGTCCCACAGTTTTGCAGGCAGATTTGCTTGTGCTGTTGGGGTGAGTTTAAACTAGTTGGCAGTGGGATGGGAGCCCGAGAGTAACTCAAATTGGAAGGAAGTAAAAATGGCAAAAGGATGTTATAAAAATGGTAGGAAGATTAAAATACAGGAGAACTCTCTCCTTAACTGTACTGTGGGTCTACCTACAGAACATAGACTGCAGCGGCTCATGAAAGCAGCTCAACACCACCTCTCATGGGCAACTTGGGATGGGCTATACATACTAGCTCAGTCTATTCACCCTATGAATGAATTTAATAAACAAAGAAATAAAACCAAACAGCAAGTATACTTTGAAAACGGAATGTCAAAAAGACAAAGTTGCATGCAGCATTGAAGCAAGGTAGGCAATCTAAAGTCACAAATAGAGATGTAGGAGAACGATCTAACTGCCATTACTGAAACATGGTTGCATGGTGACCAGGATTCAGAATTAAATATTCAAGGATATTTGACGCTTAGGAAGGGTAGACAAGAAGGAATGGGAGGTGGAGTTGGGCTAATAATAAGGGATGGGATTATTGAAGGAATTTCTCAGATAGGAAAAGCAATGTGTGAAATGTATTTGGATGAAACTAAGAAATAGAAGGAGTAGCAGACATTGGTCAGAGTTACTTATACACCACCACATAGTAGTGGCAGTGTGAGGTATGGAAATGAGAGAAGTATGTCGCACGGGCAACACAGTTATCATCAGTACATCCAATCTGCGTACAGACTGGGAAAATCAATGCATTGCCAAATTTGTGAAGGACATGTTTTTGGCATTTGAGGGTTTCTTTTTTATAGCAGCATGGTGAGGAGTGAATTGGAGGACACACTATTTTAGATCTAGTATTATGTAACGAAAGATCTTTGGACAGCACCTTCCAAACTGACAAGCACTTCCATATACAGCAAGGGCAGCAGATACATGGGAACATCACCACCTGCAAGTTCTCCTCTAAGCTACTCACCACATTGCCGTTCCTTCAGCGCCACTGGATCAAAATCCTGGAATTCGCTCCTTAATGGCATTGTGGGTCTACTTACAGCAAATGGACCGCAGTGGTTCAAGATGGCAGCTCACCACCTTCACAGCGGCAACTAGGGATGGGCAATAAGTACTGGCCAGCCAATGAAGCCTACGTCTCACAAGTGAATAAAAAAGGTCTAATCAACAATCTTGTTGTAAAAGAACCTTTAGGGATGACTGACCATGACATGATATATGTTGCATTAAAGTAAGGTAGTTCATTGTGAAGCAAGTATGTTAAATTGAACAAGGGAAATCATGAAGGCATGAAGCATGAATCGGTTGAGGTGGATTGAGAAAAATACATTGAAAAGCCTGACTGTATACAGGCAATGGATAGTCTTTAAAGAATTATTGCATGACTTATAGCATTCTGTCAAAGTACAAAAATACATGCAGTTTGTCAAATGTGGCTAACGAAGGAAGTCCAGGATTGCATAGGATCAAAAAAGACCCATAAATGTTGCCAGAAATACCTATAATTCTGAGGATTGGGAGTTTTTTCAAGTACAACAAAGGAAGAACAGGAAACTGAAGAGGAAAGGGAGAACAGAATATGAATATAATCTAGCAAACAACATAAAAATGAATTGTAAAGGCTTCAATAGGTACATAAAAAAGGAAATGCTTGGCTAAAATGAGTATGAGTCCACTACAGGCAGAGTCAGGAGAATTTTTCATGGGGAATATAGAGATATGGCTGTGAAGCTAAAATCATTACTTTATGTCGGTTTTTGCTGAGGCAGATACCAGGAATACCCAAAAGTAGAGATCCAAGTAGCTAGAGAGAATGAGAATTGAAGAAATTAGCATTAGTAAAAAGATTGTACTGTGAAATCAAGTGGGCTGAAGGATGATAAATCCTTAAGACCTGATGGTCCACATCCCAAAGTGTGGAAGGGGATAGTTATAGAGATGGTCAATGCATTGATGATCATCTTCCAAAATTCTATAGATTCAGGAATGATTCATGTAGATTGAAAGGTAGCAAATGTCACCCTATTATTTAAGAAGAGAACAAGTGAGAAAATAGTGAACTACAGACACATTAGCCTTACATCAGTAGTAGAGAAATGCTAGAATCCATTAAAGAGTGGGATAAATAAGCACCTAATTGATAATCTGAGTGGGCATTATCAGCATGGATTTGTGAATCGGAAATAATGTTTGATGAACTTCTCGGTTTTTTTTTTGAAGGTATTAGTAACAAAATTGATGAAGGATGGACGTAGCATACTTAGATTTTCAGAAGGCTTTTGATAAAGTCCCCCACAGGAGGCTGGTTAGAAAAAATTAAGCACATGGGATAGGAGGTAATGTACAGGCATGGATTAATGATTGGCTAACAAACAGAAAACAGCGAGTAGGAATAAGTGGGTGATTCTGCATTAGCAGGCTGAGACTAGTGGGGCCCCAACTGTCCACAATATATATCATTGATTTAGAGGTGGGGATCAAATGAAAATTTCCAAATTTGTGGACAATACAGAGCTAAGTGGGAATGTGAGTTGTAAGGCTTCGTCAATGGGCAAGAACACGGCAGATGGAAATAGAATATGAAAAAAGTGGGGTTTTGCACATTGGCAAGAAATAATAGAGCAGTTGAATATTATTATTTAAATGGACAGTGTGCAGAAAGCTGCAGTGCAGGGGGGATTCGGAAGACCTCATGCATAATCACATGAAGCTATCATACATGTTCGGCAGATAATAGGGACAACAAATCGAATATTGGTCTTTATTTCAAAAGGAAAGGAGTATAAAAGTAGAAAAGTCCTGCTACAACTACGCAAGGTACTAGTTAAACCACACCTAGGCTAAAGTGAGGGTCCCCTTATCGAAGGGAAGATATACTGACATTGCAGGCAGTCCAAAGAAAATTCACTAGGTGCTTCGAGCCATGGAGGGATTTTCTTATAAGAAGCGGTTGAGCAGGTTGGACTGAATGGCTTACTCCTGCTCTGACTTATGGCCAATCATCCAGCAGGTGGTAGTCCCATTTGAGTATCATAATGAAATGTTACGAATGCCTCATGAAATTAAAATGGCAGGTGACTTAGGCATTAGGAAATTGTAAACTAAAATATAACAGCATTTTTATTGTCCAGGATTAAGTGAAGATTTAGTTAAATTTTGCTGGACATGCCATAAATGTCAGGTATGCGGAAACACCAACCATCAATTAAACCTGCACCTTTAATTCCACCATCAGCTTTCAAAAAAGAAAAACGCTTAATAGCATTTTAATAGATTGTATAGGTCCCCTACCTGAAATCAAGAGTGGAAATCAGTATCTTATAATAATTATGGATGCTTAAAACAGATTTCCTGAGGCGGTGCCTTTTAACTCAATTTTTTTTTGATAAGACGTGGATTATCCAAAGAAAGACAGACAATCAGATCAAAGTTCAAATTTTATCTCATTTTAATCAAAGATATAACGAGCATTTTGGGAATAAAACAAGTAATATTTTCAGGTTATGATCCACAACCTCAAGTGCTAATGGAAGGAAAGTACCAAATTTTAAAGACAAGGATTAGAGCTTATTGTCAAAAATGTTCTAATGGGTGGGATAAAAGAACTTCCTTATTACTGTTGACCATTAGGGCTGATGTGAAAGAACCTCAAATTTATCAAAGAAACATTTGTAAAGCTCAGAGACCAGCTGGACAACCTGTTTGAGAAAAATTAACCATAGCTTGAGTTGGCAACATAGCATTTGAAAAGTACTTGACAATGCAACCTAGAGTAGGTAAAAAGGCCAAAGTTCAAAATGCTGTCACTGCAAACAAGGTTTACAAAGCCAGGCTTCACTTGGGAATTTGATTTGTCCAATACTTTGTTCAGTATTACCATTTGCTTGGATCATGACACAGGCAAGAAAATAGTGTTAAGTCCACAATCAGATGAACCATAATTTTATAGAATTGCAGCAGGCTAAGTGGCTAAAGCGGTCTAAGGCTGCTGCAATTCTTCTAATTTTATTTATCTCTTGAAAATCAGAGGCGAAGCAGCACACCTGTCCACCTGCTCTTTTCCTCCCAGAAGGACTTATAGCTCTGCAAAACTAGAGCATCGAACATTGAGGAATGTCTTAACAGAACAGATAACATGAACATGGACATTAGGAGACCTCCTTTGCAAGAAAAATATTAACATTTTCATGTGTTCTAAATTTTTAATAAGGTATTAAATGAAATACTTCTGTAATTTATACACAATTATTTTATGATACGCTATGCTATTCCATGGAAGACTTGTTTGGTCACCATACTGAACTGTTAAAGAGAATCCTGGCAGTAGTGAGGGAAAAAGGAATAAAAAGCATACTGATCAGGTAGATGAAGTAGGGCGAGAGGGGGCCTTTGTACAGCACTTAGACAGGCACAGACTAGATGGCTGAATAATTTGGTTCTACATTGCATAAGGAAGAAAAACCAATACCTTGTAAACCACTGTGGCCATGAATTGTGGATAGGGCTGCTGATTGGAAATAAATTCTCCAATAACTTTGTTCATCACGTCTTGAGGTGGGAAGAAGTCATCAAGGAACTGTGGAAGGATGCGTGCCACAACCCTTGCCTCACAAGGGAAGCCCCTCCTGATTCTAAAAACAGAGAGAGAGAGAGACAGAAATTCAACTTTATAAAATATTCATTTGTGGGATGTGAGCGTCATGGGACAGCAATAAATGCTGGGCTAGCCATAGTTGCCCTTGAGAAGGTGGTGGTGAGCTGCCTTGTTGAACCGCTGCAGTCCACCTGCTGTGGACTGACACACAATGCCATTAGGGAGGGAATTCCAGGATTTTGACCCATTGACAGTGAAGGAACGGCAGTATATTTCCAAGTCAGGATGGTGAGTGACTTGGAGGGGAACTTGAAGTTGGTGGTGTTCCCATGTATCTTCCACCCTTGCCCTTCAAAATGGACGCTGCTTTTGCTTTAGAAGATGCGGTCTGAGGATCTTTGCTGAATTGCTGCAATGCATCTGGTAGATGGTACACACTGCTGCTACTGAGTGTCAGTAGTGGAGGGGGTGAATGATTACCTCTAAGAATATACCAAAAAACCTGGACACACCCAAAATAAATGCCTGATTCTAAAATATTTTTCCAGTGAAATATCTGATCGTTCAGTATCTCAGATGCAGAAAAACCAAGTAAATTCAGCACATAATAGGAATCTTTTCCTAATTTGCCAGGTAGAACATTTTAACAATACATTAGCAACAGTACGAACTGCCGATGCTGGAGTCTAAATAACACAGTGTGGAGCTGGATGAACACAGCAGGCCAGGCAGCATCAGAGGAGCAGGAAAGCTGACGTTTCGGGTTGGGACCCTTCTTCAGAAAATT